ACAACAGACCTCCATGTCATTGTCGTCAGATCAGCCTCCCCCCTCCACAGCCCTCCCTCCTGCCTCACAGACGCAGGTCTTCCAGCCTGTTTCCAAAGTTCCTCACAGCAGTGGCATCAATGTCAATGCAGCTCCATTCCAGTCAATGCAAACAGTAAGACTGCGATGATCCTTCCTGTTTCTGAAGCTAAACACTAAACAAGTCTCATGTTGCAAAACGATGCCTGTAATGAAAGCCTTTAAAATGATGATTTCTGATGATCTATGTGGCTGCATTGGTCTGCATGGCATCTTTTCATCAAGAGCTCAAACTGTCTGTGCTAAAAAGCTTGTCGGCATTTGCTTTTCAAGTTATGTGGATGCTTGTTTCATGCAGCATATGTTCTGTGTAATGTTTGTCATCTTTGTTCCCCTTTCTGAATTGTCACGTTCACTGTTAAGACATGTTTGTTGTTTTTGGTCATATGCAACAAAAAGAGGAACTCTCCTCCCTGTTTTCAGAAGGACTTCCTAAAGCTGTTCTTGTCCTTGAGTGTGACTAAAGCTTAGGTTTACTCTGAGACTTCTCTCCTGTAATTACAGCTGTTGCTTGTGTCATGTTTTCTTATCACTCTGCATTTTTATGAGTCTGTAGAGGAACAGCTTCATGCAGGGAATGGAGAGTCAAAAGCTTCATGGCCGTTGAGCAAATGAGCTTTCTTCTGGTTTTTGGCCTCACCACAATGTGACCTTTGTTCGTTTTTCAGGTGTTCAACCTTAATGCTCCAGTCCCGCCAGCTAATGAGACAGAGGTCTTAAACCAGGCCAGCCAATACCAGAACAGCTACAATCCGGCCTTCAGCAGCCAGTCGCAGCATCCTGTAGAGCAGCCAGAGATGCAGTCAGAACAGCTACAGTCTGGTGGGCAGATTTTCATATATTAAAAATACTACGTTATGTTTTACTGTGGCTTTTCACTCACATCTGTTTTGGGGTACTGATACCCATTTTTCTTCAGCAGTCAGTGCCTTCCATTCCCAAGAGCAGTCAGGAGGCCATCAGCAGCCGACTCAGCAGGGCCCAGGTTTTGGCAGGCAGGCTCAGTCCTTCTATAACAGCAGGGGCATATCTCGTGGAGGACCCCGAAACGCCAGGGGCATGATCAACGGCTACAGAGGCTCCTCCAATGGATTTAGAGGTAAGCTCACACCTGCAGCCAATGGGTACAAAGTAGGGTTGGGCATAATCGTATTGTGTGCAATTAATCGTCAGAAAAGCAATCGATTATTTTTTGGCACTTTACAATTAATACGATTAATGCCACCAGGCAGATTGACTGGATATTTCCCTGGTTGGTCTGCTCGCTGCTCCTCTCTGCTTCAAATATGACAAACGTTAAAAATAAAGTTCTGTAATTTATTTATCTATCAACACAATTTAAAATATGATGTATACCCTGAAATATGTAATTTTCACACAATTTGGGATTATTTTTTTACAAACAGAAAATCTTTCCCACTAAATTGGTCATGTGACCAGGACATAAGGGTGTCCAGGGACTCCAGGGGATTAATTGTCAAATTAATCATTATCGGCTAAATACCCAATTAATCGTGATTTTTTTTTTTGCCAATATTGCCCAAACCTAGTGCAAAGTGTTCTTTTCAATATTTCACTGAAGGCAGTGAGTTTTATTATTCTGGTTGTATTAAGTTGGGACATGATGTATTTTTGAAAAAGATGCAAACATTTGTCCAATGAACTTGTCAGAGTTTGGTTTGTCCAGTAAGTCAAATAATTCTGGTCCTAGGATCAGCATTCGGTGTGTAAACAATGATTGTACACACAACAAGAACATTTATCACTATATCCATTATTAATCAGCAGCTAAAGCATGCTAGCATAATTAGCATCACTGTCTTTCTTATTTAACATACTCAAAATGTGTTTATATAAAAATTTACAACATGAGTGGTTAATGGTTACTCTGATCTGTAATAAACAAACCTTTGTGTTTTTTTATTTTATTTTATAAAGTTTCATTGTAAACCAAGAGTGGGAATAAATTGGATATGAAAACCATGCCTACAATATAGCATATAAACATTTAATTTTTCCATTACAAATGCAATTACACTAAGTTAGCATCGTCATATTTTCATTGTTGTAAAAATTAGCTTAAAGCTTGCTGTGTTTTTGTGAAACTTACTCACAGTGGATGGGGGCAGTAAAACAACAACAAAAAAAAACTAAAAAGATTCTGACTAATTTCCTATTCATTCATTTTTATTGCTAATAACAAAACCAAATACATTTATTTTGGGTCTTAATTTATGTTCGATTTATTCTTCAGCCTTTATGCTAACAACAATGTGTCAAACAAATCTTGCAACTCTTGACGTTAGGATCAGGAGAATTTTTAGCTTCTTAAAATTAGAATCAGAATACTTTATTGATCCCAGAGGGAAATTACAGTTAAAGCTGCAACCTTTCAAGTCAAATAATTAGAGAATAAAAGATGAGCACTTTAGAATAAAAATAAAGTAGAAACTCTCTGGAGTAAAACAAAATAGTTACTTTTGGACATATAAACAATATAACGTAATATAAACAATAATATAAGCTATAAGAAGAGCTGTTGAATATTAGTAGAAACAAACATGGTTTAGAGATGGTCTGATGTTATGACAACAACTCTAACATCTGACAGCTTCTGCTGTGCACGACTGTGATGATGTGACTGGATGTTGTGTAGCTTTCATTCAGTCACATAAACCACTGACCCACCTGTCTCTGCACAGAGGCCTTTAGCTTGTTACTGGTGAATTTGTACCAGAAGGACCAACGTGTAGTTTCAGTCATTTTCAGATTTTGAGTAGTTGTGAAACTAAACGTTTTTTTATCTGTAAAGGAACTATTATAAGGTTAAGTGGGTTTATTTATTTAGCTTGTTCTAATTGTTGTTGTTGTTTATTTCAGGAGGTTATGATGGTTATCGTCCTGCTTTCGCCAGCACTCCTAACTCCGGATATGGACAGACTCAGTTCAACACACCTCGTGACTACTCTAATGGCAATTATCAGAGGGTATGACAGAAGCTTTAGTCTTTGTGTTGGCTTTGTTAAGACAAACTTTTTAAATAGTTTCTAAAATATCTCTTTCTACTTTGGTTCTGCTCAAGGACGGTTACCAACAGAACTATAAGCGGGGAGCCAGCCAGGGACCCAGAGGAGTATCAAGAGGCAGCACTCAAGCAATGAGATCCTGAAATGGCCTTTAATCATGACTGTGACTGAATAATTTGCACCACACTGAAAATTTAAAACCCATAAATGCATTTGCCCCAGCTCACTTTTGCTTTGTCTTTTTTTGTTTTCCATCAGTGTCTTCTTTTTTCTTTCTTTTTTATCTTCAATCCAAGTTATGCCTGCTTTGTTATTTGAAAATAAATCATTAAAAGGTTAAAACACAAGGTAAGCTGTAGATCCAGTCATTGGTTCACACAGGCCATGTGCTCCAATACTCCTGTAAACTTGAAAGATTTCATAGGTTATATATATATTTTTTTTATTAATAAAAATGCACATGCCACTGCTGGTTCAAACCATGGGAGTTTCCTACCCCTTCTTGGTTACTTTTTCTCGTTTTGGTTCAACAGAAAATATTTTTGTCCCACGAGCTCCCTTTCCCTTATTTGTAAATTGATGTTGCTTCAAAAGTTTCAATAAAGTTGTGTTGCATAATCATGTTTTTGTTTTTTTCATTTGTGGTTTAAATGTAGTTATTTGCGAGGTGAAAAGTCTAAGTGTGCTAAACCAAATATAGTTATATGTAGAAGGCTTGGCTTTTTTCACACAAATTTAGATTTAATTTCTCGTATAGGTGTAGATTTGTAAGATATTCTGTCGTTGAAATGAAATAGTTTGCCGCTGCTACACAGCCAGGCATTAAGATTAACTTTTGTTAATTTTCATGCCAAATGGTTAAAAAACACCAAATTTTAAGAAATTACATCCAACTTTGCATAACTTGTAACAGTTGTTTTTAATCTTGTGATTACAGTTCAGTGCCTACTAAGATATCTGTTAGAAATCCAGCTGCATTGGTTCAGCATGCTTTTCTAGACAATCCATGAAGTATTGTGTATTTCTACAAAATGTGCTTTTTAGTGTAACCTAATCAGTTTGAAAATGTTTGAATGAGAAGTTGTTACAAAATGTGTATTTTAACATGTTTTAAATGCCTTTTACTACAGTTACAAAATAAAAACTAAAACATTCACTTTCCACCTGAAGCAAAAATTCCTGTGCAGGTAAAAAAAAATGTTAGTGTGAATTTTACATTATTGGTAATTGAATGTGTGGAAACATTGCTGTGCACTGTTAGATTAACTGATTTAAATGTAGCGATTAAGAATAAATCAGTACCTTGAAAGAACAAATAAATTTGTTATATTGTATTAAAACAAGTCACTTCTTTAGAAATGTATTTGTGACTAATTTAGGTTAAAGACTTGTTTGACACTATATTTGTAACAGGCTTACAAAACTGGGAGGCAATTGTGTAAAAAATGGCAGTACAAGACAAAAAAATACGAAAAATTACATCAGGTTAGTGTTACCAGATGAAACCACTTAACAAATGTTTTAGACAACTAAGATACTATACATAAATTTAATCAACAATTTTAAATGTTTGTTTAATTGTGTGTGTGTGTGTGTGTGTGTGTGTGTGTGTGTGTGTGTGTGTGTGTGTGTGTGTGTGTGTGTGTGTGTGTGTGTGTGTGTGTGTGTGTGTGTGTGTGTGTGTGTGTGTGTGTGTGTTAATATATCAGTCACGAAGTCCTTGCAATGTATTTTTTTAAGTTTATTTTCTATATTTTATATTTTATAACTGGCTAAAAAAATCTATACAGGTGTTTTAATTGCATGTGTCTTAATTATATGTAATAACGGCCTGCCACACTCGAAATTTTTACACCGTGTCGCGTGAGTTTTACGTCACGCAGGGGTCCTTCATGAACTGCTGTCTGCACGTGAGTTTATCAACATCGTGATGTTCGGCTATTTGTAGATTCAGCCTCTTGTTGGATAAGTTATAGTGAATAACGCCTCCAGAGTTACATAAAAGGTATTTTTAAACAATATGTTTTAATTCCGTTGTTTGTTTTTATTGTGTTGTGCTTTTTTTGTTGACTTTTTCCTGTAACTAAGTTAAGCTTTTTGTACTGTTGTGTGTTTTTGTTGTTTATTTGGTGGCGATTTATACGAATTCTTTCGTGTGGAAGGAAAACGATGGCGACAGTGCGGAAGAAGATAGACAATCGGATTCGGGTCCAGATTGAGAATGGAGTCGCCCTGCAGCACCGGACCTTGTTCGTGGTGGTGGGGGATCGTGGGAGAGATCAGGTAAACCACCTTATAATTCTGTCCAATGCAAAACGTGTCTTTTGTTTTTGCTTGTACAGTAAAATCAACCCAGCCCTACCTCTGATCCACCAGGTGGTGATTCTTCATCACATGTTGTCTAAAGCTGCTGTCAGAGCTCGACCCTCAGTACTGTGGTGCTACAAGAAAGACCTGGGATTCAGCAGGTAAGTGTATTTCTACACACACACACGTTTTGCCTTAATATAGAGCTGGAAGGGAGTTAAGAGTTTTGAACTGTCCAATATGTCTGAAACAGCAACAGGAAGAAACGCATGAGACAGCTGCAGAAGAAGATCAAAACAGGAACACTGAATCTGAATCAGGACGATCCTTTTGAGCTGTTCGTCGCTGCAACCAACATTCGTTACTGTTACTACAACGAGACGCACAAGATCCTGGGAAACACCTTCGGCATGTGTGTCCTACAGGTCAGTGTTCATACTTTTAAGGTGTAGCTAGTCAGGATAAAAAGAAAACTACTAAAGTTAATCAATGTATGCTGTTTTTCTTACTTTTATGTTTTTATTGTTTAATCTGTCACTCAGGATTTTGAAGCTCTCACTCCCAATCTGTTGGCAAGAACTATTGAGACTGTGGAAGGAGGGGGTATAGTGGTCCTCCTCTTGCGGACCATAAAGTCTCTGAAGCAGCTTTACACCATGACCATGGTAAGTCTTGAGCTTGATTGATACTCACATCAGTTTGACTGCACAGATGATCGAAACACTCCCCCACCCCCCTCAGGACGTGCACTCTCGGTACAGAACTGAGGCTCATCAGGACGTGGTGGGCAGGTTCAATGAGAGGTTGGTGTTTCTCACAATCTTTTTGTGGAACGTTTGTGGTCGATGGAGCAAATATGCTACCATGTTTATATATGTGTGTGTTTGCAGGTTCATTTTGTCCCTTGCGTCCTGCAAAAACTGTGTTGTTATTGATGACCAGCTCAACATCCTGCCGATCTCCAGCCACATGGCAAACATCAAACCAGTCCCTCCAAAGACTCAGGTGCCAGTGCTGGAGTTGCTGAATTACACAGACGAGCAACACATTTATTAGAAATATATATATTTTTAAAATATTGTGTAATATTTTGGTTGGTACTTGGTATCAGCGACAGTGAGTACTTGGGTGTGAATGCTCGCCTTCTGATCGTCTTCCTCCTTTTTAGGAGGATGGTCTGTCTCCTCGAGACCAGGAGCTGAAGGATCTTAAAGAGTCCCTCCAGGACACTCAGCCTGTTGGGGTTCTGGTGGAGTGTTGCAGAACCGTGGACCAGGTCAGAAAAACATGTTGTTGCTTTTGGTGTTATGAAGGTGATTCAGATAAATGATGTGATCCAGTTGACATTTGGACGGCCTGCAGGCTAAGGCTGTGCTGAAGTTTATCGAGGCGATCTCAGAGAAGACCCTGAGGAGCACCGTGGCTCTGACCGCCGCCCGAGGTCGAGGCAAGTCCGCCGCCATGGGCCTGGCCGTCGCTGCAGCCGTTGCTTTTGGGTACATAATTAACAATAATTTTAATACCGTCACAAAAACTGCATTTTTCATGTTTTGTCTATTATTTTGCCATTTATTTACCACCAATCGCCGTCTGCGTCTTTGTTTCTGTGTAGCTACTCCAACATCTTTGTGACCTCGCCGAGCCCAGACAACCTTCACACCATGTTCGAGTTCATCTTCAAAGGCTTTGACGCGCTGCAGTATCAGGTAAACCGTGCTCACATCTTCACCCTGAGAATAATAAATGCTTCGTGTTGTGAAAAAAATGAACCCTGTCTCGTTTTAAACCCGTAGGAGCATCTGGACTACGAAATCATCCAGTCTTTAAATCCTGAATTCAGCAAAGCCGTGGTGCGGGTGAACGTCTTCAAAGAGCATCGGCAGACGATTCAGGTTAGTCGCCGGTTTTTATTTTCCTGTTTTTGTTTTTATTTTTGAGAAGTGAAGTTCGACCCTTCTTTTCCTCTCCAACAGTACATCCACCCAGGAGATGCGGTGAAGCTGGGCCAAGCTGAGCTGCTGGTTATTGACGAGGCTGCGGCCATCCCTCTTCCTCTTGTTAAAAACCTGCTGGGGCCTTATCTGGTCTTCATGGCCTCCACCATCAACGGGTCAGTAAAAGATCAGAGGCACTTTCTTTATTTTACCCTGACATCACTGTGATGATCAACTTTTAGCTTAATATCTACAGAATTGACTGAGTTTTATCTAATTTTTTATGTTTACTAATGTTGGTTAGCTGTGGCAGCCATATCGAATGGCTTAACCCAACAGAGGATTATAATCTGTACGTGGTTAATGAGATATTTTGCTGACAGACAAACGGTGAATGCTACAAAGATCTCACTATGTGTTGTGAATAACTCTCAGCTACAACTGCACCATCTTTAAACTGGAATGAATTAAAGCCAGTTTTGTGTTTTCTAAAGTCCCTTTGCTGTGGCGGCCATTTTAAATTGTTTCGACTTCAGATGTTCAATTCAGTTTTTTATTCATTTCATTAAAACAAAACAATAATTTTACAAAGTATATACAATATACAATAAAAAGAAAAAATATAAAAAGAAAAATGAGAGAAAAAATATATATACATGTATATCAAAATCACAAATAAAATGAAATGAAAGGCGGCAGAAGAAAAAAATCTTGTAATATCTGCCCTTTTTTCCCCAAGAATAAGTTCATATAACAAAAAAATCTATGTTAGTAACAAAACAAAAGACAAGAACATTTACCGGTAATCCCTCTAGAACAACAATTTATATAGATACACATTATACTGTTTTGTATTTCTCTAACAATCCAACTTTTAAGTTAATAATAATCCAACGACTTTTACCTGAAAGTTTCATTATAATTCATTCATTTTTTTATGTTGGTCAGCTGTGGAAGTCATGTTTCATTAAAATGTGTCCACAGGTTTTTTTTTAGAAACGTTTAACAGACACATGAACAGACAGACGAGCAAAAATATAACTGCACTTCTTTAGCCTTTTGAAAGTGAGTGATTTAAAAAAAATCAATGTTATTATGTTGATCTATTAGGTAAAAATAAATAGAGATTTTCTGCTATATTTTCTATGTAATTGGTACATTTGTTGTCAGAACTTTGAGTTCATGAAACTTAAACTTGAAAAATTTTTTTTACTTACATCTGAAATCAGCATCAAATAAATATACTTACAAAAACGCTCCAACAGCAAATGTTTCATGGTAAAGAGTAGGTGTTCTGTGCTTTTTGTGAAGCCCTCTCTCAGCTGATGGTTGGTGATTTATCTGGGCTGCTTGCAGGTACGAGGGCACCGGACGTTCTCTGTCACTCAAACTGATCCAGCAGCTGAGGCAGCAGAGCGCAGAGAGTCAGCAGAGCACGTCAGCAGAGAACAGGGTCACCAACACAGCCAGGCTGGCAGCAGGTCGGCAGCAATGTCTCCACTTCGAGCGTCCCGGTCGTGTTTCTGTTGTCTGACGGTGGTTCGCCTCTCTCCGTCCACAGCCCGCACGCTGCACGAGGCTTCTCTGCACGAGTCCATTCGTTACGCTCCGGGAGACCCTGTGGAAAAGTGGCTGAACGAGCTGCTCTGTCTTGACTGCCTCAACATTCCCAGACTCATTTCTGGCTGCCCGCTCCCTCAGACCTGTGACCTGTATCCTTTTCATTAGTTCATTATAAAATGTGGTCAAATAGAGAAATATGGCTTTATAAATAGGTTTAGCCTCAAACTACTAAATCAACAAAGTATGCTTTGCTTATTGGAATAAATGTCATGTTCAAGACATGAACTCATCAGATTTACCAGCTGAAAAAGTGGATTTTACACATGTCCGCTTTAATATCAGGTGATCACTGGTGAAACCTAACATTTTTCCCATTCCAGTCACTATCTGATTAACTGATGCATCTCTAACATTCATCAGTAAATGTTTGTGTAGTAAACGCTTACAGAGAAGTGGTACCAGTACCCGAACCAAGTTCTAGTTATGTCCTCAGTGTTTACCACCCAGTTATTATGTAAACAGAGACACGCTGTTCTGTTACCACAAAGCATCTGAAGCATTCCTGCAGAGACTCATGGCTCTCTACGTGGCGTCGCACTACAAGGTGATAGCTTCCCTTCCCAGTATATATTTCTACGTGTTGCGTGCCCTTTGTGATTTTGCTGACTCGTCGTTTTCTCGCACCTCCAGAATTCCCCCAACGACCTGCAGATGCTCTCCGACGCGCCGGCTCATCACCTCTTTTGTCTCCTGCCGCCGGTTCCTCCCACACAGAACTCGCTGCCTGAAGTCCTCGCTGTGGTGCAGGTGATCTACGGCGTCCTGGAAACACGCTTAAAAAAAGAAACACGTTTTTTTTTTGTCTCTTCTCTATATTGATTTGCTCTGGCTCCTCAGGTGTGTCTGGAGGGAGAGATATCGAGGCAGTCCATCCTCAACAGTCTGGCCAGAGGCAGGAAGGCCTCCGGTGACCTTATTCCCTGGACTGTGTCTGAACAGGTACACCATGGTTGCAAAGTTTTCTGCAGAATAAGCTGGTCGTGTTTTTATTGAGAAACGATTCATCCTCTTCTTGCTCCTTCAGTTTCAAGATCCAGATTTTGGCAGCCTGTCTGGCGGCAGAGTGGTGCGAATTGCTGTCAATCCAGACTACCAAGGGGTAAGAACGTAAAGACCGCAGGTGTTTGACTGTACAGCTGTTCCCTCTCTTTGATTAATTTACCATAAGGTTACTGTTTACTTAGATATATGTTCAAACATCTATAAACACGTATCATCCTGTCCCAACAGATGGGCTATGGCTCCAGAGCTCTGCAGCTCCTGCAGATGTATTATGAGGGCAAGTTTCCTGCTACGGATGAGAGCGTTCAACCAAACCAGAGTGAAATCACCTCCGTCAGCAGTGAGGTAAATGTTTTTTAAGCCTATCTTGTCTTAAGGGGACACGTTTGTGTGACAGAACCTCTTGTTATCATTCAGGCGGTCAGCCTGCTGGAGGAGGTGATCACGCCACGAAAAGAGCTCCCACCTCTGCTGCTGAAGCTCAGCGAGAGGCGAGCAGAGAAACTGGACTATTTAGGAGTTTCCTATGGCCTCACCGCACAGCTGCTCAGGTCAGTTCAGGACAGAGGAGGAAGGCTTTTGAGTATTTCTCAAGATTTTGTTTTTAAAAAGTGTTTGCTGTCTGACAGATTCTGGAAGAAAGCTGGTTATATTCCAGTCTACCTGAGGCAATCACCCGTGAGTGTTCTTCACTGTTTTGCACCTGTGTTGCCCTGAAACTAAGTATTGATGTGTCCCTTTGTGTGTAGAATGACCTGACTGGAGAGCACTCCTGTGTGATGCTAAAAGAGATCAATACAGAGGAGGACTCGGAGCAGAGTCAGTGGCTCTCTGCCTTCTGGAAAGGTAAATTTAGCTGCCTTACATTAAGACTGCTGCTTTGTATAAACCCATGGTGCTCCATGTAAACAGTTGTTTTTTGTTCTTAGATTTCCGTAGGCGCTTCCTATCTCTGCTCTCCTACCAGTTTAGCCGCTTTAATCCAAGCCTGGCACTTAGCATTTTGCAGAACAAGAAGTCCAAAGAGGAAGTTGCCAGTAAGACTTTTTTTTTTTTTTTACAACAGTACACTTCATATTTTTGTTACTAGTCCCCACAACTGATCCAAGTAATTTCTGGTATCAACAGCTGTGAACAGCATGGGGCTGGCAGCACATTTCACTCCGTATGACCTCAAACGGCTGGAGTTGTACTCCAGGAACATGGTGGACTACCACCTGATCATGGACCTGATCCCTACAGTGGCACGCATCTTCTTCCTCAAGCAGCTGGGCGATGTCTCCATCTCAGCAGCACAGTGTGTACGTTTCTACACGAGCTCTGGACCCAAGATCGATATTTTTGTTGTCGCTGTTGTTAACCACTTAGTTCTCACTGATCTCCTCCAGGCCATACTGCTGGGAGTGGGACTGCAACACAAATCTGTAGATCAGCTGGAAAAGGAAATCGATCTCCCGAGCTCACAGCTCATGGGTCTCTTCAACCGACTCATCCGCAAAGTTGTGCAAGTGAGTTCACACCGATAAGCAAACACCGCTCGTCCCATAACCTGAACGGCTACGCTAACTAGTGTTTCATCATGTCTTTACCAGGTGTTCACCAGCATCCAGGAAAAAGAGATTGAAGCTGAAATGGTGGCTACTAAAGATGTTACAATGGATCCAACAGTCAAAAGTCTAAATGAAGACCTGGTACGTCAGCTGAGACATTATGTGCTACTCCATCACTGCTACAGAAAAGATATCCTGCTATGAAAAATGCATCATCGTGTCGCATTATTACTTACTGATGCAAATGTGCAAAACCACTGCGAACCGGCCTGTTTCTTATTCTTCAGAACACAACAGTGAATGACTTTAGTGTCCAGTCTGTCTTTAAAGTAACAGTGAGGAGGAACAGGGGGAAAATGTACCTTTTTGTTTGATAAAAGTCAATCATTTGAACCCTGTTAATAACTCTGAGCTCAGCTTTTGGCTAACCCTATTTTTGGACTTAATGTATCCCACGTGTTTAATGACCTGATTTGATGAGAGTAAGAGTCTTAATAAATGAATTACATGACCACATGTTGCCTTTTCCCAGGATGCATCACAGTATCTTTTCTTGACAGAATGAAGCAGCCAAAGAGTTTGAGGAAAGGCACCAAAAGGATCTAGAGAAAGTGAAGGAAATGGATTTGGTAGAGTGAGTATGAGACTTTAGCCTTCACAAGGCAGGGTTTGAATCAAAGCACACTGTATTTATTGTGGTTATTTGTGTGTGTTTTTTCAGGTACAGGATACGTGGAGATGATGAGGAGTGGGACCAGGTGCTGAAGAAAGCTGGGAACACGGCTGTCATCAGCATCAAAAGGTGCAGTGTTGTTCAGGGTGTAAACAGAAGACAGGTGGTGTGTGGCTGCTGGAGCAACGTGTTGATGTTTTTATCTTCTCAACAGTGACAAGAAGAGAAAATGGGAAGGGGAAAATACCCAAACAAAAAACGGGTCTCCTCAGCACGTGAAGCAGAAAAAGAAGGAAATGCAGCATGGAAAGTTTAAGAAGAACAAAGACAAGCACGGGAAATTTGGAAAGAAGGCGTGACAGAGCGTAGTAATAACAGGACTGCAAAGGACTTTTTTGGACTCTCAGATATAAATGTGTATTCATGAATTTTTTTTAAGCAGGATCTAATCTTGTCATCCATAATGTAAATCAGCAAAGATGAACACCTCAGCCCACTGTTATGAAATAAATAACTTTTATTTGTGTCAAACACTGCTTTGTATTGCTGTCTTACACTTTTGTTTAATTTAGTTCTAAAAACAGTTGTAAAAAGTTTAAGTTTATAAACTAAACTTTAAAATATACGACTGGCGTTAAATTTGCTGAACAGGTAAATTTAGCACCTGTGGCTGAAGTTTAGTCCACTTCTCTTTCAGCTGCTCCTTCAGGGCTTCTTCTGCAAAGATGCAGTCTACGGCCTGCTGGGACAGCTTCCACACGGCCTCATGGCTGAGGTTAAACGTGGCAGCAGCCAGCTGATATTCCTGAGACAAGTCTGTGCAAAAAACTCCTTTATCATCAGTCTGGAACAAGACAAGGGACAAGTTAGGCTGACTGATCTTTTTTATGTACACGGAACAAAAATACACACTTTAAAAATTAACCAGTCATTTATGTGCTTCTTGTGTCCTTTATAAAATATCTTTCTTTAAGACCGGTCACACTAATGTTTCAAACAACTTATATCAACATTAAAAAAATGTCAAATGCACTGTTTTAAGTTGATTAAATTACCCACACACTGATATACAAAGGGACAAGTTGTCCCTCGATGCCAGCCTATTTTTTTACGTGCATAAAATTTGCAGTGTATGCCGATGTGCTGCTAATAAGTTAAATGAAGTTACAGGTACGTGACGGTTTATACACAGGTTCAGGCATGTTACATGTAAGTTACTCATAAGTTGACATGTCAGAAACCAGCTGGGTGATTGTCAAGTGTAACTTCACTTTATATTTGATATAAATCTTTATTAGAAAACTTTGCATAGATGAAATCAAAAAACCTTCAAGTGCAACTTAAAACCTCTCTTATAGACTAAAGCTCAATCTGATTTTAATAAAAGTTTTCTTACAAAAGGTTCAATATTTAATGAAAGCCAAATGACATAAGCTTTATTTCAATTGACTATTAAAACAGCATAATTAGGAAGTCTAGGCAAATAGAAGATTTTAAACATTAAGTTTTTATTCTGATATCAATCAAACCTCGGTTCTCCTTTTGGTGTGTAAATATCTTAATGATTAAATTTAGCCTACTTTAAACTATATTGTGAAAGCAGAACAATATATATATGTATATATTTGATTCTGCTTTCACAATAGATAGTTTAAAGTAGACTAAATTTAATCATTGCGGTAAATAGTACAGAAAAGTCACTTACACAAATGACACATGGATGTCCCAACTGGTACCAGTACCTGAAGTGATGTTGGGAGTAATTTTGCACAGTTTGTCCTTTGACGTTTGACGTCAGGCACAGCTCTAGAAGAAAACAAAGAATAAAAAGAAATCATCTTTTTTGACAGCTAAGACACGCTCACACTTTCTTTCTGATTGCAGCTTACCCAGAGGTATCCTGTTTTTCACCACTTTGTCAACAAGGTGCTGAGTTCCACCCATTTCAGGATGTAAGAAGGTTCCATGACCGATCCTGTCCGGGGGGAGATTTAGCAGCAAGTCCGTCTCCTCCAGCTGGGAGGGAACCTGCACATACATTTGTTGTAATAACACAATTTAGACACATAATAGGACAACAAAACAAATGGCAACATTTTTTAAAAGCCATACTTCTGAAAGGTGCAACGACAACTTCAATCCACAGTTTTTGGCCTTCTCCAAGGCTGGAAGCAGGTATTTGCCATGGCCCACCTTTAAATCAAAACTTTGGTTATTGGACTGATTTTGCATATCAGCATGTGTATTTTTCATCAAGTATTAATTAAGTGTTTTCAATCCTGAGTCTAAATGAAGAAATGCACAAAATTATTATTGAGAACTTTCCCAAATCCCCCAAAAAATACTCAGGTATAATTGCATCACTGCATAATTCCCATTTATCTCTTTTTCAACTGAAATTATTAGAATTTCCACCAAAATGTTATAGTGACCTTTGGATCTCCACTGAGGTCAATTCCCACCACCTGACCACCAGATGACAGCATAAACTCTTCGGCCAGTTTCACTGTCTCCATGGCAACCTCAGTCCCATTTCTGCGGTCAATGGCCACCAGAAACCTTTTAAGATAAACTATATTTAGTCATTTGACACTATACCCAACAATCAAGCTTTAACACAATAAAAAAAACTTATTTCCTGCAGCTGCAGTGGGTCTGCCTACCTAACATCAATGTCCAATCCTTCATTTTTGCACTGCTGAATGGCTCTGATGACAGTCTCAATATAACTCTGTTTTGTTAATCCTGAAAATAAAAAAAAACATTATTGTCTCGTCAGCTGGTTGAACAATGCAGAAAGTCTAAATATCTGACTCCTGGCCAACATTCTTACTTGTATCTTTCTCTTCTCTTGGCGTGCTTCTAAGCTCTAAATATTTGACACCATCAGCTGCAAACTCCCTGATAACATCTGTGGCCACCTTGAAATAAATACAATCACACACATTTATACATTCATACATTACAGTATAAATACTGTAATGTAT